ATCATTAAATTCACTTCCTAACATGTATAGTCTTGCAATTCGTCGAGCAACTCGGGCAGTAGTCACTAAACTGAAGATGTGCTCAGTCAGAGTCTTAGATTTTTTCCTGCTCATATTCTCCAATCTCAGCCATTTCTTCCACTAATGCCTTATTTACCTTCCGGCCTACAAGCGTGGATTGCTCAGTAGCGAGCAATGAAGTGCAATGCATACATTTGCACTGGTTCAATCTCACTTCGCGCCAACTAAATCTCACATCCAACCCAGAGAAGAAAGACCGTCTGGAAAGAGCTTTCATTGACCCACAAAGGCCCCAGCACTCAAAGATTTTACAGAATCCCAACTAACTGCTTAAGGCTATTACTCGTTTGCTTTATTAGAACTAGGTTTTATCGTAAGAAGAACCCATAAAAAAGTAGATGGAACATTGGCCGTGATTCGAGTTCAAGCTGATCGACGGCAGGTTTTCTGAAGAACAGAGTGCCGCCTCTGGTCTACATCAGCACCGGGAGATATCTCCACGGCATGGTCGTCACTGAGCGCCACTACCAACGAACAGCGGTATCACTCGACTGCACATTGAGTGGGGATCTTGTCGGGCTCTGCTGCTACCTACATCCATGGCCGTCTCAGACGGTTGGTGAATCCAAGCACGGGACTGGCGAACTGTTAAACAAAACACACAAAGCCTTCGGCCTGTCGAGCAGCTATTGACTACTACTTCGCTACTTGCTAGCACAGAAAAACATGCTTTTGTTGTAGTTGTTCAAATATACGACAATTAGTACTTGACGTAACAAGTATTACTCTGTAGCAACGAGTTCAAAACAGCGTTTCTTAGGGGTTATGTCAGGCACAAAAAATAAGCAGTAAAGTATATTTGAGTGAAACATAAAAGGTACAACAACCGCAAATACACATGGTATTACCTCATTGAATTACATCATACACATTATTTCACCATTTTCAATTGTTATACCTTTAACCGCATTAAATACAAACATTATTAGATGTTTTCTGATAGTCTCATCGATACAGTTTTGTTACATAATTGTTTAGAGCGCGAAAAGCGCAATAGTTAGAGACGCCGTGCAATATATGTACTATTCCAACTGAGTCGACTATACTCGAGGCCAACTAAACATTTCGGGTTGAAATATTGCTTTGGTCCGATATTATAACCTCACTTCTCTTAAATTTTCATCAAGTGAAAAAATGTCAAACTATTTGAATTACTTGGATACTTGTATGGTCCGTCATCACAGGTTCTGTGGTCACCAGCATAATTTCCATTCTGCGGAGATTTGCTAGTTAAGCAATTCTGGCTCCCTAGAGTCCCAAGGTCAGCCCGGCCAAAGTCTGCCCCAGGTCGTCACCACTACAGGCAGTCGCAGTCCTTGTGGATCAAAGGGAGACTTGCCATCAAGCGACTAGTTTGATACCTGGATGGTGGTGATTCCTGGCATCGGTTTACTCTTATCTGGGCTTTCTGATGGAATAGCCGGACTCCTTAGCTTATAGGACACTGCTGGGGTGGGACGAATCCCCTCGCTGGCTGTATATCGCAACATCGCAGTCCGACACCCAGAACACCTCCCAGCCACGAGGCGGTAAACCGTTGGGAGGAGTAATTGAATTGAAAATTGTTAATAATGTTTTTGAAAGCCAACTTTAATTTGATCTCTGCATAAGTAGTTAACAGTTTCTTGGATTACTGAGGTTACACGTACTTGTTGCAAAAATTCCATTGTGACTTTGGGTATCGCTTTCTTTTTCAGAGCCACAATGATTCCAGTCGACTGCCCACTGTGGAAAAGTTGAAATTTGAAATTTTCCAAAAAGTCCACCTTTCCTCCCTTTTTGATACTTGGGCGGAGCTCCAGTCCACTGGATTAAATTCGACGCGAACAAGAAAACTCACATCGCAAGAATGAACGGCTTAACCAGCTGTGTACAAGCGACTCGAACCATTCCAGCTCTGAAGAGCGCAAAGGCATCGAGACGATATCCAGAAAAAAGTTTTTGCAACAACTCGTGAATGCTCAATAATCCGAGAAAACGTTGATAATAGTTCACTCCTTTCCTTGATAAGTAAATATGATGTTGCTATTTTACTCTTTATTCACAAAAAGCCAACGTTTCGGCAGAACTCGCTTTCTTCAGAGCCTGGAACGATCATGTTGAATGCAATCTGCTCAGGCAAACACCTCCACAACTAAAACAAAAAAAGAAACAATCGCACTGAGAATAAAGTGGCTTCTTTTTGATTGTAAAATTACTACAATTAAAGATCAGTTATTAATGGCACTAGTTAAAAAGACGGGACAACACTAACAAACAAAATCTTACGCAAAATTCTTTCAAGTTAAATATGCAATTCTCCCAAGGAGAGCAATAATGTCTACTCTCCCGAGCAAAAACTCGTGAATCAATCCAAAATTCAAAACAATAGTGCTCGGAAACTCAGGAAGGCAACGAACTCATAGTAGGCTGCTTCATGATATTTGTATGTTGAAAGAAAGGAATACCCATAGATACAATCTAGTGAGCAGCAATTGGAATCCTCAAAGTCGGTTTCGAATTACTGGAGGCTACTTGACGGAGGGTGCACTGGCCACTTGAACCGAGCGGACGAACGTGCTGGTCGTCTACGGCACCAGCCAAGCCAGCTGCCTAAGGAGATGCCTGCAGAATAGGCGACCAGACAACCACGAAAAGAATGCTTCAAGTAGGGACGGAAAAAAAAGTTTGTAAGATGAGTGTTAATACCAACGGTGAAGTAAGGCGTGACACAGAAGAACTTTAGCCGACAAGACTAAGTACTCCGGCTATCGATACGCATCACCTGCACTCTAGCCGACGAATGTGTCCAACCCGTCAGTAGTCCGAACAATCGTCAAAGCCATTACTCCACTTGGACCAAACGCACTGCATGCCTGTTCTTGACTTATTTCCAGCTTTCTCATTTTGATTTGTTTTATATAGAAGAGCACTAATCGTTGACTTAGACCGTTGAACTTTCTTTAGACAAACGTTCGGTTAGATATATTTAACGCTTTGTATAAGTATAAAATGCCATCAAGATGATTTGGCTAGTCAATAATAAAAAATGTTCCAATGAATGATAATGAGTGTCTTTTATAAATGCTAAAAGATAAAAAAGCATTTAATGTAACTAAAGGTGTGCGATTCAGCATGAATTGAAGCCTGACACGATCGCTTTGTTAAAGTGAGATGCGTAAGCACTTACGGTAAAACAACGGCAGCAGTACAAAATTTTGATAGTAAGTACTTCTTCAAAGCATTGAATTCAGGGAGCTACATTTTGACGCTTCTTTGAAGGAAAAAATCGGAAAAAGGAAACAAATTTCGGCAAAAAAGTCTTCGATTCAGATTCAGGAAGGTACTTCTTGAAATCCTCAAAAATGTAAGCTTGAAAAAGTAGTTAATAGCTGCAATTAGTTGAACAATTTGTATTGAACAGATTTAACAGATTTAATGATGATCTCATTTAATTGTGATTTAATTACAATGATTCTGAGATATTTGCAAAATTCCGGACCGCAGGTGTCTACGGTGTCTGAGAGACAGGCGAAACGAAGGACCTGCATGGTGTGGTGGTGAACGTGTTACCTCCCAGAAAGGACAATAGCGCGTTCGTTCCCCACCGCAGACACCTGCAGTCCGGAGTTTTGTAAATATCTCAGCATCATTGAAGTTATATTTCGCAATATATACTTTGCCATTAAGAAGAGTAGGCAGTAAATAATAAGTTGAAATTATGATTTAATTACTTTGTGACTTATACTATAGGTTTGGCTCAACTAGGTGCAATGCCGACTTGCGCTTCCCAGATCAATGCTGATGGGTGATTGCTGATGGGTGATTGCTGATAGCACCTATAAAACACGGCTGAGAAAGAGGAGAAACTAAGGAATCGCATGATATGGTGGTGAACGGGTTAGTCATTGTAAAAGGTAATAGCGTGTTCGTTCCCCAGATGTCCACATAAGACAGCTGGAGTCCGGAGTTTTGCAAATGTTTCACCAGCGCTATGATCTCAGTTAGACCGAAATGTAACAATAAAGATACTAACTATAGCAACGATAATAGTAACAGTAATAATCTTAGAAATGGACTTTCATCAAACATCGGCAAGAATAATCAGTACTGTTCCAAATCAAATCAAATCAGCAAAACATGTTCCAAATCACAGAAAGAAGAAAAGGTCCAAAATTTATTCTCCGTAAGTTTAATTCGGTTCCCTTCATCATTCTCGGTCGGTCAATCGGTCAACAAACCACAATCATTCCATGCGAATTACTGCAATTCTAGAAGAGTCCAAATCGCGTGGCAGCAAAGTCCTTCTGATACACAAACTCGAGTAGCAGAACACTTTGGAAAGCCGTAAAATGAAAATCTCTGGATACTTGTAGGAACTTCCCTCCACAAGACTCCAATATATCGATGGGAAAGAATAAAACAAAGTTGCTCAGATCGCTGCGAATCTGCATTAGAAGGTGACCAACCTGTTTGCAATTACAAGGCAACTAATTGAATTGAAGTGCTAGGTCTCGCACAACATGAAAGCAAAAGCATCAAAATAGCCGAGTAGGCAAGTGAAACTGATGTTATATAACAGTAATGGTTACCACTATTAAAGTTATTGCTTAAATATCAGACATCATAATATTCAAACTCATTTTTCGGGTAGCGTTCATCTTAATATGGATTTTTGTCTGAACGTCTAAACAAGTTCTACGAGGCAAATAGCACAGTGATAAAGATGTCCGTCATCACGAGCATGGTGCTAGCACGATTCCGCTCCAGGCTAACCAAGCCTCTCATCCCTCCGCGGTCGAGAAATTGGTACCGGACTTGTCCGGAAAAAAAGCACTCTCTGCAACCCAAGTGGAAACGCTCGAGTCTGGCTATTTCAGGACTCCAGAAAAAATCGACTCGACGATCATTCTACGGCATTCAACATGAAATGAAAATCTTCAAGCAGCAAACCGAAGCCAAACGTAAAAGTTAGAAGACTTTCGTGGATAATGGATTCGAGGAAACGAGTCGAATGTGAAAAGTGCTGAGATCCGCAAAGTAGATGTGAAAGATGGGTCGTGCAAAATCCAATAAAAATAGAAAATGCAAGTCTTACTCAGTTTATTTAACAAAACTATACTTAGACAAGGAGCCAGAGTTGTTTTCATCGGGATACAGAGGAACAATATGTGAAAAAAGAAGTAAACATAGTAAACTAACTTGAGGTGATGCACATATGAGAATAATGAGCATCCATCCGAACAGGATTCCCAGTCCCAATATGAAGAGATTTCGAGCTTCAGAATCCATAAATAGACGTTGAAATCCGTTGGTGATGTGGTCGTGGAAGTGGTTTACGCGATGATTTAGTGCAGAAGCATCGGCGGAAGCAGGAGACTGGCCGCTCCCTGTTCGACTGCCATCTAGGGCGTGGACGTGATCTGCAACGGTGTTCAGATGGATATGTGTGCACTGATGGAGGAAGAAAGCCATTCGAAAACCCTGCCCACACTCTCCACGTAACACAAATGAAAATAAAAAGTATAAAAACGTAATTTGCAAGGAAGAAAATCAGCTCACTATTAGAAGTGAAACTAAATTACCTATTTCGCTGTTTTGCTCGTTAAACTTGTAGGAAGATGGGAAAGAGATTATAACGGAATCCCCTTACTGTGTTATGACACTGAAAACGAAAAGACACAGTGCTCGTTATAATCTGGGCACTCATAAAAAATGTTGTTGTAGTTCAATGAACTAGGATATTCAAGGAGTGCGTATTCGTTAGGGCTAAAGCCTAAAATATCGATAAGCACCTTCTCTACATGTGGTCTAAGTGCGTCGCAGCGAATTTCCGGTTAGTTCCAGGCAAAAAGGAACTGCAAAATCTGAGCAAAACATCCAGCTGAGGGAAAGAGTAGATTATCATGTCGATGATTGAGATTAATAATTTCGACATATGTGACAGCTTAACGTTTAGGAATGCTCATATGAAAGTAAACTTGGAGTACTTTAAGACAATTCCTTTAAGACTATTAAGATAAAAGTGTCGAATGATTATGTGCTAGCTGCCGTCATCATAATCCACAAAGAGCGCAAACGAATATGTGAAAAGATAAATCCAAACTGATTGGTTCTTGAGAAAGAAGCATCTATAACGATATTAGCAATTTGTAGTCGAAGAATGGAGAGCGTTAAGGTCTTCGCAACCGATTAGCAGAAAGCATTGGAGAACTCAAGCGAAGTTGTACCTGCCGATGTGGGCAGGACTCCGCGTCATCTCATTATATCGAAGTGCATCCACTTCGTCAGTCAGCTGAGAATTGACTGAAAAGAGACGAGAAGGATATTGGCTGAAAAATATTTTCTAGAAGTTGGAAAGGGACAAAGCTGTTTCATTTTCATAATTGCTAACCACTGATGAGTTAGAAACGGCCAGCAGTTGCACCATTACACGAAGACCGAGGGCCCAAGGTTGAATAGACGTTATGAACCGCTTTTAATTTATATTTCCATCAAGAAGGGCGCGTGTAGCGCAGTGGTCGGAGACGCCCTGCAACACACATGTAGAATCGGTCCCCACGCCTATCGCACGCCATGCTTTCCATCCATCCGGGATGGGCAAATTGGTGCCAGACTTGTTTGAGAGAGTATTAGCACTGACTGGATACATCGGTAAGCCACCGCGTCATTGTAAAGACCAGATATGGCGCATCCCTCAGAGATTGATCAACGCCGAGAGCTTTATCCTTTTTTTATCCACCATGAAACGGTTTGAAGTCGTTAGAAAAAAATAAGGGAATGTTCAAGAGGGCAGAATGTGTTGACACAAGCAAAGGAGAATCACGGAATTTCATTTGTGTTTTGCTTCGCGAATCTTGGACGTTTTCATACTTAAACGAGTATTAAAAGCGATTTGTTAGCACATTTCTATTACTACTAATACACTTATTGAATGACGAAAGACCAACCACAAAGAGAGTTATTGGTTAAATCGAGCGAAAGAGCAGCGTTAGAATGCAACACACCGGAACTAAGACTTTGAATGATGGTTCAATCCTATATTTTCAACAATGCAATTTCCCAATATTGCACAAAAATCAGGGATTTGTATTTAACTCCGCAAGAATTTCGGAAACCAGGATAAAATTTGTATAGCGAGATATCGTACCAGAAATTCAACATATTTAAAAAAAGTAGCACGATTCGAAAAGAAATGGTCACACTTGTGCTGCACAAAGAACTCTCCTAAGAAAACGATCTCGAGCTTCTTAGTCGTGGTGCTAAGTGGCTCTTTCCCTGGTGGCTGAGAGGTCGCTAAACGATGACTGCAAGAAGTGGAATTGGAGTTTCGAGGCGGAACTGAGGAAGGCCTCTCTATCTCTGCCACTCTAGAGTGGCTTATTTTCCCCCTACATAAGTAGGCATATTCATGGACGCATGTGTGGGATATAGCATTCCGTCCGTGTGCAAATGTATCCTGCTAGTTGATTCGGCGCAAATTCTTTCCTAAATTACTGGAAAGTGAAAGAGAGTAACTAACTGCGACACCTAGAAATGGCTTACAAAGAACAAAACGGCGAATATTTATGAGGAGCTGTTTATTAAGCGAACGAAAATTTGCGTACTAGGTTTTATCTGTTGAGATTAAATGTTTGGATGAGTAAATTCCGTGTGAATTTGACCTTTCCAGCTTCTGAAGAAGCCGAACCGCCAAAACATCAGCTGTTGTGAATTAAAAAGAGTGGTTTCGGATCCGGCTCTAGTAACAAGCATTGTAGCTATTGGGTTGCTCTGAAATTAACGTCGAATTCGTAATTTCGCTTTTCTTGTAAACATTTAAACCGCTTTTTTTCTTCGATTGCTGCATCACTACACATCATTGCAAGCACGTCTTATGCACTTCCTGCCGTATAATTGAATTATTACATAAATAGCCGCATGGTGTGGTGGTGAACATGTTAGCTCCACGGAAAGGGTAGTAGCGTGTTCTATCCCCACCGCAGACACAATACAACCATAATGATGCTGAGATATTAGCAATGCTCCGACACCAGCGATCCGGACTTTTGCAAATATCTCAGCATTATAAATGGCTGTCACAAATACTCGAGAAATTTGAAAAATATTCTATTGCAAACACCTCCATTGTTCAGCGGCATCTAAACAACATTAGAAGGGCGATCAAGCTCGAAGAATGGATTCCACATAAATTGAATGACAGTAGGAAAAATATCCGTTGCGCGATTTCGTCGGCGCTTCTGCGCAACCAACAGGAGGCATTTATTGACCTTATTATGTGTTAGTTCCCAGGATCGACTTTCTCTTAACCTCGGCATTGGAATATGAATGTGTCGTTTTCTTGCTCAGCAATCGCGAGGTTTTTAAACAGCATACATTTACTTCCATAAAAACACAATACAATACAACGCTAGCTGACGTTTCGGCAGTATCGCCTTCTTCAGAGCCTGGAAGGGTATACTGATATACAATCTACTAGGCCAAACGCTTCAATAACACTTACAAAAAGACGAAGAACTCTCCGGTAATTACACGATCAACAACTTCTCGAAAAACCCACCGCTTTTTCGTGACTTCCAATGAGGAAGTTAGAATAACTGATTATACTAGCATATGGTTGATTACTGCACCATTCCACATCAGAAATCGATGCGAACACAGGGGGTCAGGTCGCGTATGACCTCTGGGCATTCATCTCTGCTATTCATTGTAAGGTTTTTGGCATTTATCCAAAAAGCCTCAAAAAGTTTTCGAGCTGATGTTTTAGTCTCCTGTGCAAAGATATTGACTTTTACTTCAAAATCATCTCCGCTGTGCTTTTGTATCCTATGCGTGCCTAGTGGGGTGCTTCGTCTTAGTTTTCGTTTGCCATCTTGGTGTTCTTTTATACGGATACACAAAGGTCTGCCCGTTTCGCCAACATATTCATCTCCACAATTATTACAAGAGATTAGGTATATCGCACCTCAACTCATGCAATCATCGTCCCTGCCGTAAGGGCAAGTTACGCAATTTGTTGCTTCACATAGACGGCCATACAGGCTGTTACGAACTAATTAACGACGTAGAGTAGCCGGTGGGGGGCATAACAATACCTGAGAGTGCGCGTTTTCTATTAGAATTGGACCCAAGTTTTGCACCACCACAGCGCATTTCTGAAACAACCGTGCGTAGGATAGCATGCAACCATTATGAGCTTTAAGATCGATTCCGCTGTCAAGCCTAACAAGAAACATCAAATAGAGATAAAAATCAAGAGGCGGCGACACTACCACCATATGCTTTCCCTAAAGCGTTTTTTGGACAGCAGGACGCTAACGATGGGGTTGACGTAAAATTCCGCGTGTTTTCGGACGGCGTTCTCAAGACCCTTAATCACTACCGCGATACAAAGTTTTTCTCTAACCTTACAGTCGCACAAAAATGTGGCATGCGAAAAATTAGAGAATTAATAAACTCGAAAACTATAAGATTGCCTGTTATTGATAAGGTTGGAGAGTTCGTAGTTATTCTTTGCCAGTTGGATGTTAAGATAACAGAGGAACATCTTAGTGGTGCTACCCTCTATCGCCCATCATCTGAAAAGGAATATAAAAGTCAATACAGAAAGCTAAACAATCAATGGGTCAGTGTGGCAAAGGCTGCAGGTTGTCATCGGTTACTTCGCACTTTAAAATCTATAACCCAACATGTCCCGTTCTATACCTACTTATTAAAACACATAAGTTGGTATCACCTGATGATCATGCGTCAACCAATCCGTTATCATTTAAGGCTAGACCCATTATCAGCTCTGTAGACGGGCCATCGGATAGAATAACTTGGTTTCTACGTCTAATACCTATCCAGTTGCTTAACCACATTCCACCTCACCTCACAAACACCCAATTGTTTTTAAAACGTCTACGTAACGCGCCTCCTAATAATGCGTACGTGATGGAGTCCTTCGACGTTACCGCGCTGTATATAGCAACTATTCCCAGAATAGTCTCTATTTCTTTCTATATATTTGTATCTTTCTACTACTGTATGTTTCAGTATTAAGGATCAATTATGTTCAATGTTTCAGGCTCAATAGCGATTCAGGTTTGACTTCAGTAGCATACCAACGATGGCTTATCCGAAGAAGGCGTAACCATAGAACAGTTTACTACTTGCTTGCGAAACAACGAAGCTAATGACGTTTGATGTTTCAGGCAGTTAGGTACAGTCTTCTGCGGTCGAGGATCAACAATCCAGATTAACCGCGGTTGCATACGCTCGCGGCTCCCGCAGCCGATATAAGCCAGGTGCCTTCGAAGGCGGAGACATGCCATCACTCACCTTACCCACGATCGGTAGCGCGGATAATCCGCTCCTCACAACCACATCCTCAATCATCCTCAATCACCTCAACTCATTCTTAGTCATAGTCATTCATTCTTATTCAATCACACTCATACACACACACATTCATCCTTCACTAATCAGCAGATTATTGTATCTTGTTTCTCAGCTTGTCTAGGGTGCGATGTCAGTAGTGGCGGGTGTTACCAAATGCGTTCTGTTTGCAAC